CGTAACCCCCCCTCCCCCCCGGCTCGAGTTGTCCGCTCGGGTACACAAGCCTAGAACAACATACCCATGTTTTGAACTTAGAATAACGCAGCCTCATGCCGGATCCCTAGTAGGAACGCTTGTTTGCATCATGTGCATTTGACTTTGGGGACTCAACACAGGGGTTGGGTCCGTCTAGGACAGGCATACCCGAAAATAAAAAGACCAACCTGATGCATTTTTTATGTGCTACCTATTCATTTAATTTGTTTCGAATTTCATGTTGACCGGCTTCTAGATTAAGTGAGGAAAACCAAAAGAAAAACCAAATTCGGGGTGTGAGAGAGAATTTCATCCATTTCCCAAAATATGGTATCCAAATGTCCCGAAACTCTGCCGAAAATTTTTGAAAAAAAAGAGAAGAAAAATCATTTCAAAGTGTTTATATTTTTCAGTTGCGTCAAAACTAACCGAACTACGCGGGTCTGATTCTCACCGGATGTGAGATACATAGGCAAACCTCATCGGTTCCGGCCCCAATTTTCAAAAATCCAAAAATATTTTCCTTTACTTCCTTCTTTAGAAAAGTCTTTCTTTGAACCCCAAATTTTCAAAAAAAAACAAAAATATTTTCCTTTACTTCTTTTTTTTTGAAAAGTCTTTCGTTGAGACCCCAATTTTAAAAAAAAATCAAAAAATATTTTCTTTTAGTTTCTTCTAAAAATCCAAAAAATATTTTCATTCTTCTTTAGAAGTTTTTCCTTCAAAAATTGAAAAGAAAATTCATGATTCAAAAATATATATTTTTTTAGAAGTCTTTTTTTCATAATTTTAACATAAAGTAAAAATTCAAAAGAATAGTTTCTTTCTTATTTAGAAGTTTTTCTTTCAAAATTCCAAAAACATCAAAAATATTTCTTTCTTTTTATAAGTCTTTCTTCCAGAAAAAAATTCAAAAAAAATTCAAAATCCAAAAAAAATTGTTAATTCACTTTATTCCCGATCCTCCTGAACTACGTAATGATCTGATTC